CATCTTGATCTAATACCTCTACAAAGGAGACATTTCAGCTGCATATTTGCCATTAAAGACCTTCTTTGTCCCCTTTTTGAAATGCAGCTTTGTAGTTTGTGTCAGTTGCAGGCTGCTGTCGCTCAGGGGAAGCCGTGGGGTGGAGGTTGGCCCTGTGCCAGAGACTTGGAGGAGGAGGTAAATTCTGCCAAATTGGTTGCAATTCCTAGTAGTCCTATAAAGGTCATAGATTATTTAACATGTCTTAAAAGCCACAGACTGACTGCAATTCTGTCACTGTTAATAACTAAATATTTGGGGCAGACAGCTTTGTTTTTCCCCATATGTGTACACCACTGTCCAATAAATACACAAGTCTGCTTGTTATAGTCTTAAGTTGAAAAAGAGGCAAATAAAATATTGAACCAGTGTGTAACTAATGGCGACAGTGCCAATATGCAGTCTGTGGCAGCACTTGAGTATAGGGGAGTTTGGCCTTTTCTTTGGTGTTGTTCAATGGTGTATCACTGACGAGTATCTGCTATGAAGCCAACTGGGTTTCCCCTGACATTTTTGTGACATTTTACCGTCTGGATGTGAGGGCCCACAGTATGGCACAAGCTGTCCCATCTGCAGGGTCTCGTGGGGTCCAACCACCATCTCAGTCTGTGCAGGCCTCACTATGAGAATATTAACAGACAGAGAGATGTAGGTTACATACCGGATGTTGAATAATTTCTCCTAAAGGGATACCATGTTATCTGGCCTGTTAGCTTTCATTATATTTGATGAACTGCAGAAGTACAAAATGCAGAATCCAGGATGGCCTTTTTTCTTTGTTCTTTTCAAAAAACAAAACAAAAACCCAGTCGCAAACTGGACAGAATAAACGGTGCAGGAAATTACAAATACCAAAAGTGCTTTGCGCCACAGTTTCTTCTGTGCATTTATTTACATTATGGGCACGTATGCATATGACATGCATGTATGCCATCTGCATTCAGAAAAGTGCACATTACCACATGTAAATGTTAATGTGTTAGTTATTGAATTAGGTGAAGTGTCTATTTTACAGTGTATGTTTCTGTACATGTCTGCTTCCTGGTAATGGGAATAAATATCTATCTATCTATCTATC